ATCGCTCGATCCGCAGTCTGACATTGGCCTATGACGGGCATTACGGTGCACAGTTTGCCCGAATACAGTTTGGCGGTGTGGTTCATTAGGACAGAAAGCGACTTTTTCGCGTTTCGCAGCGCGAAACATTTTCCGCTGCGGGAACCTCAGGTCCACCGCTGATCATCAGTGGACCCGAGGTTCCCGCAGCGAATCATCAGTGGACCCGAGATTCCCGCAACGAACAATGTTTCGCGCTGCGAAACGCGAAAAAGTCGCTTTCTGTCCTAATGAACCACACCCCAGTTTGGCTCAAGGAGTCCTTGAAAGTTACAAAATGCTATCATCTTATTTCTACGTTATTTCTTCTGGTTTTTTTATATAATGTATGTGTTCTTGTGTTTATGACATAAACGTCTATGAAAAGTAATATTTACGTAGTGAGCAGCTAAGACTAATAAGCCTAGAAAGGGGGAGGAAGTCTCTCCCGGAGAAAGCGATCACGAACCCGAGGGTTTCGCCCTTTTAAGGCTTAGTGCGCTTCGAGAACATGCTATCCGTGTTTTAATTACGCTGAGCGCCTCAACCCGCATGCCCCTCGTTTCTTTTCACTGCAGGAACACCAGGTCCACTAATCATCGAAGTGGAGCTGGGGTTCCCGCAGCGAAAAAGCTTCGCGCTGGGAAGCGAAAAAGTCGTACTATGTCCAGCGAATCATAGGGCGCACGCATAGTCGGTCGGACGACAGCAACGATCGTAACTGTCGCACAGCATTGGATGCGTATCGATCGTCGGACTTGCCTGAGTATTCGACGATTAGATGCAGTTAGACAGTCAGACAGTTGCGATCGTTGCTGTCGGACGACCGACTATGCGTGCGCCCATACCTTTATGGAACTGCCCCCAAGTGCGTACCTATAATAATGCGGTCTCACTGTTGTACGATTGATACTTATTCATTCCGCATTCGAACTGCAAGTGGCCGCAAACTATGACCACAGCCCCTATCATATTATACTCGATATCGGTGAGTTGGGGTAGGCGTGTCACCGGAAGTGACGTGCACTTGATAGAAGCTATGTGGATAAGCTGCTTCCAACATACATCGCTGGCTATCAGCAAAGCATGCTGGCAACAGCTTATCCACGCACTTCTATCAAGTGCACGTCACTTCCGGTGACACACCCACCCCAACTTTCGGATATCGACTGTATTTCATGTTAGGAGGAAATTTAATATTTGCACCAGTGAACGTAAACATTAGTGACTTTGACCATTGTGTCCGACTTCTGTTTCTTTTAGCTTATCATTGCTCTTTTCAATGCAGCGACTTCTGCATGGTGTCTATGTAATTAGCCCTTTTTAATGACTTGGGCTGTTTACACTGGTTCTTCGATTTTGTGGTGAACTTTTGGGAAAGAATGCTCGAGATCGAACATGAGCCTGCTCAATTGTGAGTTTATTTTCGCAATTTTTACGGCCGATGTCATAGTTTGCGAATCGAGCGATTCGCTAGCGAATCGCTCGATTCGCAAACTATGACATCGGCCTACAGCTTTGCTTGCAAGTCAGATTTAAACTAGAATGGTCTTGAACATGTTCATGATTTAGCAGATACATTTGTGCTAGCGTCCGCTTATGCCGTTGCTCTGTACGAACTGGTTGAAAGAACTCCAGCAGCAGCCTCAAGGTCGTCTAATGTGGAGGATTTTCTACCACCACCACTTCACTCTTGGCAGGTGCTCTAACACCTTGATAGTTTGTCACTCACTGTAATCCTTCTCTTATTTTAGTCCCCTGGCTCTTCGCTTAGTAACTCAGATGTTTCTTTGTATAATATCAGGCAAGTTTTCCTCTTTTGTTTCAACCGCAAAATGGGTGACAGAAATTTTTAAAATTCTCCTTTAAGCTCGGCCAATTTCACTACTTCATGCGAATCGGATGTTTCGTCTTTGGGTCTCAGCGACAGCACAGATTTCAATAGTTAGCGAACAGTTTATTTTCTACTTTTTTTAACTTCAAACTTAACTGCTGCAGACTACCTGGCGCTCTGTTGGTCAGAGCCTCTAACGTTTAGTCTGCGCTGCAACTGTATTTCGGAGCTGCGTCGCGGCAGCGATGATAACGGCCCCTCAAGACTAACCTAATCCTTGGAGAGCACGGACGGACAGAGCCGCACCGCCGCGTACCCTCCCCCTCAACTGCACTAGCACCGGCAACACATCAGAACCAAGGTGGATGATCAGTGTTGTCAGAGTTCGAAAAAAATCATGATAAATGACCTAGAACCCGAGAGTTGGGATTCCTTGCCCATTGATCTCCGCAGTGGTGCGACTCTCATCATCAGTGCTGCTCTCTTCAACACCCACGCTCTCTGTTAAATGGCTAGAGACCTGCGACCAGTGGTTACAAGTCGGTGAATGCTGCTAAATCGCCGGGGTTTATCCCGACGAATCGCTGCGAGTTGCGTGCCGGCCCGCAGCCTTAGGGTGGTGTCAGAGTTCTCCATCCGTCGCGCGAATCGCAAAAATCGCGAGTGCCCATTTGAACATTTGAAACACTGAATATGATGAACAAGTAGAATCATGAACAGTCGTCATTCAGCCATCACCATCAAGCAGAAATGGCGGCGGGATTGGAGAGCACCTTGCAGTATTGATCGGGCACTTGTGATTTCTGTGATCCGTCGCGCGATTCGCGCGGCGGATCGCGAACTCTGACATCAGCCTTATGTTTCCGCCTATTTTAACTGCTGGGCGTAGAATTCAATTTAATATTGATTTCTTACTCCATTGTGAGCTATGAAGTGTAAAATTAGAAACATGGCTACATTGTGGTGTTGCTATGGTGTACAAACAGCACTATGAAAAGACTCGTTTAGTGTTCACTGACACAAGTGACACAAGTGACAAGGACTAGCTTATCATCCGGTCGCCAGGATATTCTCCAAACAAAGGTGTGCAGCATTCAATTATTCTCTGATTGAATTTTGGTATTTATTTTCTCCTTTTAACTCAAAACTCAGATCACTGCCTGATTTAGGATCCTGTTCCATTGAAACAACCCTCTCGAAAAGTGTCTAAGCACTCTTCATCAGAACAATTTATTGGCTCTTCTAATGTCAGAATGACAAGAAGTACTTCTAAACGAAATGCTGTAGGTGTTTGAGTGCTATTACTTGACGTTGTTGTTGTCGGCAGATACATAAGCAATTGCGTATCGCGGCTTGTCTTCTCGCCGGCCCGTGTGATCAGCGCTTGTTTACTCTCGCCGCCACACGCTGGGCGATGAGTATGAACAGTTATGTCATACACATCTATTATAAATACAACATACATATATTTTTATATCTACAATGTCATACATAGATATTTGCTCAATAGCATTTATTATTACCCCCTGATAAAAGAGGTAAGGTAACCCGAGGTGCGGTGAAAATTGAATATGTGTATTCAAGAATACAAGTTAGAAAAAATGAATTAAAGTAGTCCAATCAGAGTCGTTGCAATTGCTTCAACCGCTCAAAGTTGTGTTACAGACTTCTTTCTGACAACAAAACGGCAACAAATAAGGAGGCTGCGGTCGTAAATTTTCACGACAAAAATCAATAATTTGTAGCTCTCTGCATATGGCAGAGCCCTATTATACGCCGGATTAGGAAGTAAATTAGTGCACTAAGCGAGAAGAGTGCTGAACATATCCTTAATAAAGCGATGGTTCTTTATATGCAGCATGCATTCACACAGAAAAGAATAGGCGTGCTGCACCGTGTGCAGCATGGACACGCAATGGATTGACATTTTCTATTTTCAGTCACCTTACCTAACCAGTGATCTTGATCTCATCAATGTAGAAGCTGACAGACAAGCCTTTCTTGGTAGACCTCCCACTTCAGTACAGGTGCCTGTATTTCCACTGCCTAGTTTAACATTTTTGTGTCGTTTTTGCTAGATCGCAATTCTCCGAAAACCTTGAGCTATTGTGACAATCGAATTTTCTGGAGAATTAAACGATTAGGAGCGTTTTGAGTGTGCCTTATTTTTCTTATGTCAAGAAGCAAGCTCCAGAATGATGCATTGACCTCCTCGGTGGAATCGAGAATCCCGTCACGGAGGACTCGTTCACAGAAGAAGAAGAAAAACATCAGGTCATGGAAGACCCTCAAGGAAATGGATATGTGGCAGAAGCAGTGGATAGAGTGGGTTTGAAACGAGTTGTTTGCCTCCAACTGCCTAGAAAAAATGGCGATTTTTCATTTGGAACATTTCGCTGAATCCTTGGCAGAATAGCACAATTCACGTACGGAATTTTCATTGTATCACTGCAGTATTAAAGCCGGTGACAATTTCCAAATAGGATCCTCAATGCTGCCCCTTTGGTGTTTTGCAGAGGATGCACGGTTTTACGCTAATTGTTACCAGACGGCGTCAATTAGCAAATTCATACCAGTCGGCGACAGCAGCCTTGATTTTTTTTTGTTCATTTTCAAATTACTGACAAGGATTTGGGCAAACATGCGATCTATGAGCATCCGAGACACTTGATAGAATGAATTTCTTTAGTAAAACTTGTTTTAAGCTGCAACGTTGCAGAAAAATTCGATTATCGCAATTTTCGAGAAGTGCTGCTATCGCACACGTTACTGAGTCCTGGAAAGCGCTCACCGATACTTATTCAACTTCTGCAGGTGAATCTTTTTTGGATAGTTGTTGTTCCATATGTTTTCGACTGTGTAGGTGACTTAACTGCGTAAAGGGTGGGGTTTTTTACTTGTTTTCTTTATTGACGGAGGCATAGGACGTCGTTTGTTGCACATTTACGAACCGTTCATCTAGTTAGGGTCCTACGCGCTCATAGTACAACGGGAATTCAAGGGTGCAATCACTTGTAACCTACTGTAATCAACCTTTCCATGACAACTTCTTTTGGCAAATGGATCGCCTGAATTGTGTAGGACTTTCTCCTACCATGTATATTCTTGCTAACATTCTCTATCAAGATTACAGGGTCGTTCCTCGGAAATGCAGCAGTCTCTTAGATTATATGCTTGTAATGCAATCAAGTTGGTGGAGTACTTAACAGTTCGTGGTTATGAGGTTTGCCTTTTTGCTATCATCACGTTTGTGTTGATACTGGATTCGTTGTTACTCTATGACATGATCAGGTTTCCGCTCTACTGCCTGAGTTCATTCTTTGTGTCATTGGTGTCTATCTGAAGAGACCTAGGCATTTGAACGAGTTTGATCGTTCGTGGTTGCAAAGCAGAGAGGTCAGCTTGACGTTTTTTTTTCAAGGTACTGGATTGCAACTATTAGGTTGGAAAGAAAGTTCTGCAACACTCTTTCTAAAATTTTCTTTTTTTCTGAAAAATTCATAGGTAACATTTATGACTAACAAATGGTAGAGCATTCTCGAGGCTTCAATCCACGAGGTGGATATAAGTGCTGCAGTCAGTAGTTATCCAAGAAAATTCAAAAAACCTCGACCAGTAAATCCATACTCCGAGTCACTGTCTAGTACAAATGTCTCCATAACTATGGATTCGTGTCAACGACCACACTATCTGCAATAGCTTCAATAGGCATGTCGTTCACCGCTACAGCGTGTTTCACCTTTACCAGCGCTTCGATCTTTTGATATTTTTATAAGAAGCCAGCAGCGTCCCTACACTCCATTACAGGTAGGGCTCTTACAGAAGCTCCACTACATATTCTTCGTTATGGGCACCATTGTGTAGGTAGAGGCCTAGGCTGCGGAATACCAGAAGCTGGCCGAGGCAGCTCGTCAGGAGCCCTCGTACCGCGACAATATTCATTTCTTTCATGACATTGCGAATCACCATGATCCGAAATGAGCCCGGTAAGAAATTCTGGAGTTGCGGCAAGATTTCTTACCTCTCTTAGCGTATTCCCCTGGTCGAGCTATAAATGACTGCACCTATCCTGGACCTTTAATCATCATCTTGATAACGAAATAATTAGACGATCAACTCCAACTCGAAAGTGAGGTCGCCTCCTTTCTCGACCCGCACTCCGCTGGGTTTTGGAAAAGGAGCATCAAGAAATTTTCTGAGCGTTGAAGACAAGTGGTGGACACTCATGGTAGATATAGACCGGTCAGGAGTTGTAAACAAAAAAGATAAAATTAAAATCAAAAATTTGAAAAAGTGTTGCAGGACTTTCTTCCAACCTAATATTTTCATACGGAACATATTCCGATTCTAATTGAGCTACTAATAATTTTGAACATCACCTCCAGCATTCACCGTCGAGGTCCTCATGGCCATTGACTGCAGGACCGATTCTCCCATATTGTCGGTGAAGCTATTGGTAGAGTCCGGGTGGCAATTAGAACGAATCAATAACAGATCTGAGAACTCTGCTGCGTAATTTTCGATGCTAAATGATTGCTTTTCATGTTGTGTTTGTAAATACTTGATACTATACTTGACACCTCCCATTTCGGCGCGTGCCCCACTGTGGACGGAGCTCCACCCTGCTGATGTGTCGTACTTCTTGAACCATGCCCCATTAAAGTTAAGTCTGAACTGTAGGTGGTTATGTTATGTTATGTCTATTACATGACAAGCATGTATAGCGCTATGGGTTCTTCAGGTAACTGGACAAACGCACATCTGAAAGACTCATAGACGGAGTGAATGTGGAGCTCATATAGTAGGGATCGTTTTTTTTTTGTCGAAAATAAATGACAATCTAAGGGAATATATGTTTTGAACCACATTTCTAATTGCTGTCGTACTGATTTCACATTTGAAAATTCAATGTTCATGACTTTTGATAGTGGTCCTTTCTTCAGATATTGCGTATGGTGTGTGAGATTCCTTGGAACATCGACACACTGATGGCTGTTCTGTCCTCCATCGGAGAAGCAAAGCTGAGGTTAGTTGGTGTCAATGGCTTCATTTTCCGTTTTCTAGTGTGCACATGCAATGCAAAATCGTTGCTACGAAACCACTGTATGGTGTACGAATTGGCTACGAAATGCGTGATGTGCATTTTTGTGAAGTTGTGAGGCTATCCTTACTATATATAGACAGTCCTTACCATATATAAGGCAGCAGTTTGGTGTGTGCATGCGTGCGTGCGTCTGTATATATCGCTATGTCGCAGTGTCATCACGGAACCCGATTTCTGAAGATCGATCTGCAGAATCCGGGTCAAGTTTGAGATTGGTGGGGCATGGGTCATGAAGTGCAAAACGGGAGACAGTCAATTCAATCGTCAGCTTGTGAGGTCACGCCGCTCGCGCGGCGAGCAGCTTCGCGCGCGGCTTTTGGTGCGGCGATTTCCGTGTGGGCCTTGGCTTAACCATGCACGTCCATAAGATGCCGGTGGAGCTAGGTAACTGATAAGATTAGAGTGCTAGACATCAGCAAGCCAAGCTACCTTAAGATCTCCGCAGTGGTTTAAGCGCCACAGTACGAAGCTTTTACCATGTAAGTTTGCCCTTTTGGGTTTATTTCAAACCTTTATTAATCAGCTGCCTGTATTCCGACCAGAATCATCACGCAGCCAGACTGAATCACGCAGTGAAGTTCAGTTTTAATTTGGGTGTACCATTCGTTAAGCTGGTGTCAGAGTCCCCGACCCGTCGCAGGTTTCGCGCAAATCGCGAAAATCAGCGAAACCTGCGACGGATCGCGGACTCTGACACCGGCCTTAGCGGTCGCGTGACACGCACGGTACCGTGCCAGCGGAACTGGTAGCATAATAAGCAGAGTTAGTAATTGTAGTAAAGGCAATAAGCTGTAGTAAAGTTTTATTGCTTTAAGATTTTATAATACTATTTTGACGTGATTATGTTTCGCTATTGCCATGATTTTGACTCACTTGTGTGTTTTATCTTTTTTTTCTGGCCATCTGGCATTATACATGCTTGTCATGTTATAAACACCACGATTGACTTTTTACATGTTTCCATGGTCGAAGAAAAGTGTATTTATCAAGATAGTGCTAAAGTAAGACAGGAACAAGTGCAGAAATCCTATTCAAGAAAAAGCAGAAATCTTAGGCTCCCCCCACTTTCTTCACGATTAGCCCCGCCCAAAATCGTGAAGAAAGTGGGGGAGCCGAAATCCTATTCAAGAAAAACTGTTTCTTTTTATCTTTGGAGAGTATTTATTACGGCTGACACGTTGTTCATCTCGTTTCTTTTTATGTTTCATATGGGATGTCCAAAATGAGCCGTCCCCTATTGAGAGCAGCTCTCTCTCCTCAGCTTCATAAAGGTACCCTACTCACGCTCTTCCCAAGACGCAATTGAGCAAAGTTGTGGAGCATAGATACTGCCCATTGGATAACTGGTTTTGACACCTACTTGGTTATTGATGCCGGCTACTTCAGCCTTGTTATTTGTATTAATTTACTGACTTTTATTTAAAATTTTGTGCTAAAAGTGAATGCGCAGAATGTCGCGCACCATTTTGGAGTTTTCGCCCATCATAGGCTGTTCGAATTCAGTACGCAGTGGTCCCTTCCAGGTCATGTCGGCCCATCCCAGACCCTCCAACTGTTCTTGAAATATATATTAGGTTGTCGGAAAAGTCTTTGGCCATTTCGATCTGCATGTTGTAAAATCTTCAGGGATAATTTTTGAACATTTATTGTAAAACGTATGTAAACCTAGTCAGAGCATTCTCTGCCGTGGTATTTCGCAGCGATTATGGCTGAGAAAATCGACTTTGACTGAAAGCATATTTGGCTACTCCTGATTCTAAAACCCAGAAAACGCGTCAATGGAAGCGATGCGGCAAGAGCTCACGTCTTGCGATGGAACTCCAGAGTGTCTTTCACGACATGGTAAACATTTGGTTGCCGAAGTCCAGAAACTCGAGAAAAATGCACAAATTCTTTTGGCCTGTTCCACTGAATGACGAGTGTCTTCTGTTTGGAAACAGTCTTCGGAGCAATGCACGGGAACTGACGCAGCTTTTTCCAGTTATCAGAACACAATAGCCTTCCTCAATATCTTCTCAAAAAAAGAGAAATATGGCAAAAGGAGATTTTGTGATCTGGGTGACAACCGCCGTCAGAGGCCTTCAGATTTTGCATGAACATTTTGATTTACCGTCTGTCTCTTGTTTGACCCGACTACTTTGTTGGTGGTAATCAGAAGTGGGTTCCTCACGTAAACTGCAGTCGGAAGCGCCAGTGGCCCAGACGCGTAGAACCAAGGATTCCAGCGCCGATTCCAGCACTGCAACCTGGGAGGTAACTTTCAGAATTGGTGAAGCTCCAAGCGATTCGTTCACTGACAGCTCCTACCAAAGAACTGCACTGCTATTGCTGAACCATAATATGGGCAAATGGATGGGTTCGCCGGCACTATGCTTTGAAAACATGGAAAAGTTTACTTTATCCAGGCAACGCTCGTCAACGAATTTGGAAGAAGGTTCAGCAAAAGTCTCCAAGCCCTTTATGGGACGTTCTGTCCCACCTGTTGTGTTCAGCAGACCCGGCACTAACAGACCACCATCTGCTTCCGTTGCTGTCAAATCAACCAAAAGAGGGAGAACTT